CGGAGGAGGCCGACCCTGTGAGATCTGACGGGTCTTTGGGAGGTAATTGGCAGCAGGCGGTCTCTCAAGTACATAAATAAGTTTATACTTATTGTGAAAAAGAGAGAAGTCACTTCTTCATATATTTCTTTTCTTTACTATATTTTTATTTCTTTTCTATTTTACTTCTATTTTTCCTGCACTTTCTATTTCTTCCTTTTATTCTTGTAGTCCTTAAAATTTGTATTAGTTTTTTATATTTTTAATTGTAATGTTAACAACTGCATAATATCATGTGATGATTTGCCTAACTCTCCACTGCATCTTCTGCCTTTACCTCCCTTTCTCCAAAAAAAAAGAAGAAAGAAAAGCAAGATTTGATTATCTCCGCTGCATCAGCCAAGACAGCCATACCAGCTGTTCTCATTGTGCAGCCTCTTCCTCACGGCCTACATGTTAATAACCTGATCATTCCATTTTCTCCTTCAACTGCCGGCTGCAGCACAGTGAAGAGACAAAAAGCCAGGCCCATCTGCAGCAGCTGTAGGCACTGAACTGTGAAGCCACGGGGGATTTATAAACTAATCTGTAACACAACACTGCCTTGTTTTTACAAGTGAGAGGCCACAGTTGTGCAGACCTGATCTTTTCTTGCAATAAGCTAGGAGTGGTGGGAAATAAAAGGAAGATATCTAATCATTTACTCGGAATAAATATCTGCATTTACTATTCTGTATGGTACATGGCTAAGCACGGAATCAGGTGATGGTTGACTCCCACATTCTCTTCCCCTCACTCAAAATCCCATCTCTCTTTAATAATAAAGCAACAAGCAAATAGACCTTTAAAAGTCTCGGCTCTAAAGTGTTTTCTCAGGGGTCCTTCTATACAAAGGAATTTATTTTTTTTTGAAATGTAAAATAGAACATGGAAGGGGGGAGTACTTCTTCCTGCATTCTTTTTATTTTTTACTTGAATACATTGAATACATACAAACTCTTTGAACAAGTATGGCTTCAACACATTCCCTTGGAAAACTTGTTTCCGTGTTTGTTCTCTTCGTATTTTATCCAAGGCTAAGAAAAATCCAACAACTGCTCCAAGTCTACATTCTGAGTGATCTTGAGATCTTCTGGCCTGGGGTTGCTGTTGCCTTTCCAGAATGTTTAGCTTGAAAAGAGAGATGTGACAGATGACATCTCTCCTCTTCCTTATGATCTTGGAATATTTCATGCAACACTCAGCTGTATTTGATTGATAACTACTCCTATAATCTGCACTCATTACCAGCACTTAGCTTGACACTACAGGTCTCATTATGAATGGTGTGCTCTCTGTCATTATACTTTAGGCAGCATCATGTTCAATTTGCCTGGCACCTTGCAAGGTCCTGACCATGAAACTATTAAGGAATGAACTAGACTGCCATGTGATCATGCGTGCAAGACATGAGCAAACCAAATTAATTTCTGGCACAGGAAGTTAGCAGGCAAAGGTCCCATCCTTAGGACACCAGAAAATGACTTGATTCCCCTGTGGAAATACGCTAATGGCATATTTAGCAAAGCTTCGTTCTGAAGGTGAAGCCCGTTCTTGTTATTTAGGGAAAGAGAAATCCAGTTTTCCCAGAAACTGTGTGCTTGACTGATCAGATTAAGGGATCTAGTCTTCTACAGCCTGGGCATGAATGTACACAAATCACAGCAGGACCCAAAAAATCAGTGATACTTCATAGCCTCAGACATATTGCACCATGTACACCCAGCTGCTACAATAATTAGTTTATGAATGTATCAGCTGGTTCTGCAATTTTTATAAATGATAACTAACCTACAGAGCAGAAAGATTTTCATAAGCCTAATATTAGCAAGAAATTGCTTAAACCCTCTTAACTCTAAATTGTTATTGTGCTAAATGTCCTCTTCATGCTTCCAATTTTATACCACTGTAGCACTCCCTCCCTAAATATTTATTTGGCATCAACAATGGCAATTCATTTATATCAACTTCTTTCACAAAAAGCTATTATCTACCTTCTTTTTCACAACCTATTAGGATTATTTTTCTTCAACAAATCTATCTTTCACGTAAGCTCTTATTTATTCAAATAGTTTATCAACCACCCACTCAGGTTCATATATTAATCAGCCAAAAAGGTTTCAAGTGCCATGAGAGGCTACTATTGAAAACATTAAATAATGGAACCACTAACCAAGACACACAATTCTGTACCAAGAAATTACTATCAAGAGGGAAGTTTAATGTGCATTGCAGTGCTTTTTATTATTATTGAAATAATCTTACTGTGCTATCTGAGAAAGTTTTTCAGTATGTTACAAAAAAAAGTGTAAATGTCAAATAAAACAGTGACAGATGATGACAGTATTCTCTATTGAATAGCACCGTTGCTTCGTGCATGTTCGATGAGAACTCATGAATTATTAATAAATAAACTCCTTTTTATGTTTAAAAAAACCTCATGTAGTTGTGTGATTTATTCAGGGAGGTTATAGCAAAGAGAAACTGAAAATTCTAAAACTGACTTCTGTGTTTAAAAAAGCTGATCCTAACTTTTGCATAGGTACTAAAGACTATCTGGCAAATATCCATTCTTCCCCCCCCCCCCCAATATACAAATATTATTTGTATTGGGAATAAAAGTAGATTTATAACAAGCTAGAAAGTGAAAAAGGTGGCTGAAAGAAAGAAAAAAGTTCTTTAAAACCTGGTGCTAGTTCATTGTACCAGAATTTTCAATAGTAAATAAAGAGAAGGAGTTACACCCCATTCCTTTGCTAATGTAAATTACTCTGGTCCAGGTTCAATCCCAGATTTTTAATTTTAAAACAGTGCAGAAAATTGACGATTAGACATCTCTGTTTTATAATCAAAAGAAGATTGCAATGCAGGCATTCCCTTCCACATATCCCTATACACTATCTCTTCAAGAATCCACCAGTATGTTTAAGGTAAAATCAGAATGCTTTCTAAAAATATTATACCACGAGTGAAGATGTTATTGGCATTTGTTTTTGTTTTCTTGTTGCGCCTCACTTTATCCATTTCCCACTGTTGGGAAAGCCTACCATCTGATTAAAAACAGCCAAAAGCCCAACAGTATGTAGAAATGAATCTCACCAAGTTCAATAGAATTTCCTCATACACAATTGTGTCTACAATGGCATATTGCTTCAAATCAGCTCCAATACAAAAGATACTGCCATGGATGGGAAAAGGAGAATGTAGCTTCTAAATCAAAATTTTAAAACTGAAATCTAAAAATCATTTTTAAAATTTTCAAGTCTGCTTTCTGATTAATTTTGGTCTCTTTTTTCTATATATTATTGTTAATAAGTTAAATACTAAAGCTCTATTTTAAATCAGTATTGTTTCATATATCCTGCTATATTAGTAGTTGTAACAATAAACTGATTAAGATAGGATGGAAAATTCATGGGAAGAAAATGTCGTCCATGCAATCAGAAAATATGTTAGGTTGGGTATAGTGGTCCTAATATCAACCAAATTCAATCAGTTTTAATCTAATGTATTGTATATACTGCCTTAAAGTACTGAGTTAATAATGCTGATGCCAGATTATCTATTAAAATAAAATTTAAGCAAACGGCAAAATCTGTTTTTGTAACTTATGAAAACATTTCAATTTAAGAAGTACAGAAAATACATAAATAAAAGTCATGTTGCCGGTACAGTTATGAGTTTGGAAAAAAAACTCAGCTTGTAATTTTTTGTACACAATTTTATACACAATTTTGTCAATATCCACAGAGAATCTCATTGTTTCTTATATTTAAAAACTTGGGCAATTAAGCTTT